TGCTTGCCTTTCTTGTTGTTGGAGACTATGTTGTAGCTCCTCTTGGAATTTTTTCCATTGTTCGATTGTTGTGCCTGTTGTGGTGTATCTGGTTTCTGTTTGATTTTTTGGATAATTTTTTGAGGGTGTGAGGGTGTTGAGGAGGGAAATCGTTGCTTGGATGATCGCGTGATCACTGTTGGTCACCATAACTGCCGAGCTAATTTTTGCCTCAGTGGGGAACCACTCATTGTGATTGGAGATCCAAATATAATCCAACCTAGAGGTCGTACCTCTGGAGTTTTACCAGGTGAAGCCTGGGGTGATGGGATTTAGTGCTCTGTAACAATCTGTATAGTTGAGGTTTTGCAGCACATGCAAGATTGTGGAGGTGGGTTGTTGTGATCTGTGTTTCTTGTTAGTTGCCGACTTGTGATCTATTTGGGGGTTTGTTACTGAGTTGAAATCTCCCATGATGATTGTGTTCCAGTTCCTTCTATGTCTGATGAGGATTTCTTCTTCTAGCCATTTGTTGACTTCTCTTTTTTCCCGACCATCTGATGCTGGTATGTAAGCTCCCACTATTCCAATGTGTCTTTTCCCCTTGAATTGAAGATCGATGCTTATTTCTCTGCCTGGATATTCCTTTGTTTTGCCTATGTGTTTGCCTATATCCTTTTTAATCATAATTGCGATACCAGCTCCTTTGTTATTGTTGCTCCAGATTATATTATAGTTGGAGTGTTTCCAGAATTTGTGATTATCGCTTTGTACCTGTGTTTCGGTAAGTGTTGCTATGTCTATGTCTTTTTGGATGCAATAGGTAAAGAAAATTTGGCGTTTAGTAGGATCGTTGATACCCCTTACGTTGTGTGTGAGTATTTTCCATGTGGTTGTAGATGGTTGCACAGATGTGATGTTGTGGCTGGTGCTTGTTGTCTTGGTTTTATTTGTTGATGATGATGTATTTGGAGAAACTTCTGTTGCATTACTCTCATTGTTCATCATACGTGGCAGGTTGTTGGGGGGTGTTTGTAGTAATGTCAATAATCTGGTTGAGGGTACCCACTACACTCTGGAAAGTATCACCAATGTTTGCCATACGTGTGTTTAGGTTGATTTGTTGTTCTCTGATGTTGAGTGTGTCCACTGCTGGGCTTGTTGCTTGCCTTTTCCGCTGGTAGTTGAAGTCCCTTGGCTCGAGAGTAGTTGTGCATGGTGGGTTTTGGTTCAGGTACTCTTTGCCTGTTTTGATAGCTGCTTGTACTTGTTCCTCGTCATCAACTGTGTAGAAGTATGCGAACTCCTCCAAGTTGTTAACTCTACTGTTGAGATCATTGATAGTTTCTTTAATGTCCTTTAATTCCGCTCCTATTGTCTGTATAGCTTTGAGAACTTCGGTTAGGGATAATTGAAGGTTGATCATTGCTGCTGGGTTATTTGCTGCCAGGTTTGGTCCTTTGCTGGAGGCTCGTCTGGCGATTTGGGCGAATGTTCCTTTGTTTGCGAACTTGTTGGAGGTTTTGTTAAACTGCTCCCAGGCTCTCAAGCGATCCTGGTTGGCTGGTTTGGAAGTTTGTTTTGATGCAATTCTCCTGATATTTGCTGTTCCTGCTAGTTTAAATTTCTGGTAGAGTGAGTTGTATCTTTTTGCTTTTTCCTTGAGTAGTTATTGTTTTTCCTGGCGTTTAGCTTTAATTGAGCAATTTGCTACCAGATGGTCTGCTGCGCTGCAGATTGCGCATAGCTTTTCATCTACTTCATGCCAATAGAGAGGTGTTTCTCCCAGATATACTTCCTGATTCTTGGCTTGTTCTTTTGCTTCTGCTGAAGTAAAGTTAAGAAAGGCAAACCATTTTTTTGTATAGTTCCGATTTCGAGGAATATGGCAGGATGCCGCTTTGGTGGTGCTGATAATGTCACGGAGGTCATATTCTGTAGTTCCGGAAGGGAGATTGGTGAGTCTCAAAGTGTGTTTGTCCCGTATTTGTTTGACCTCGAACGTTTTCAAAAGAGGATAGATTCTCAGGAGTTCTCCCTGAAATGGAATGCTCCATCTTGTACAGATTTTATTGTAATCTTCTTGTTCTGCAAATTCAACTAGTGTGCATTGCCACATGCCTGTAGTAGTCATTCTAAGGCTTTTAATTTGTCCGAATTGAGTAAGTTTTTGTCTAATTTCTTGTTTGTTGGTGTCAAGGGGTATGTCCCAGACGCAGATTGACTTGTTCTTGGCCTCTGTTAGGTCAAGATCGGTCAGGATGGCCATGTGGGAGTCGTTATCTTTTTGGATTGGCAATTTACATGCTTTTTGGGCATCTTTTTAATTGGCAAATGAAGCAACGATCAATTTTGCCCCTGTTGCTGCGCCACATGGGCGCCTATGTAGAAGTCAAGTTGAGAGACTGTTTCTTTGACTGCATTGAGTTTCTCCTCCATGGAGCCAGTCAAGCTTTCCGCCTGAATAACCGTTTTGAAGCGGGAACGGTCGTACTGGATGTGCCAGTCTGTGGGCGGCCCATAGGGGTGTCTGGCCGGCTTGGATGGTTGGTGTTGGGTGGGCGGGGCGTCCTCTGCCTCGCTCTCTGGGTCTGTTAGTGTTGGGTCCTCATCAGAGTCTCCAAAAGTGGGTAGGGCGGGTGTCCGCTGGGGTTCTTCTGTATCCATCCGGGCGTCAGCTGCCCAGTCAAAGGAGGCGTCCACTCCCTCCTCTATGGTGGGTATCCAGCCAAGTGACTGGCTGCTGCCTGCTTCGGGCGTTGTTAGCTGCTGTTTTTGCTTAAGTTTCTGTTGAGTTTTGGGCGCTGGGGGCTGTTGCTAGGTGGGGGAAGGCGATGCCTTGCTCCTGGGAATACTGCTGTTGTGTGTTGCCATGGTGGGTGGGGCCTTTGGGCGGACTCCTGGCTGATTACTGTGGATTTTAGGCGAATCTGGGCAATCAGGAAAGAGTTTTTTTTTTTGATCAATAAAGTTATATATATTGTTATAATAAAAAATATATTTTAAAAGTATGATAAAATTTTGAAACTTTTTGCTATAAGTGCTATACTAATAAATTAATTATTTTGATTAAAAATTTTTTTAAATCATATAGTAAACAGAATCAGATAGCTTTTTTTTTTAATTAAGAATGTTATAAGTTTAAATATTATATTGTTTATTAATAAGATTTTTTATCTTTCTTTAAATATTTAAACTTTTCAAAAATTATCTATTTAATAATTTTTTATAAGATTTTTCTTTTTATTTTTAATAAATAAGTTTTTTTAAAATTTTTGTTAATTAATTTATTAAAAATTTTTTATTAAAATTAATATATTAAAAGAAGAGATTTAAATATTTAAATATTTAATGTTTTTGTATGACTTGAAAACTTAAATATAATAGTTATTAAATAAAATATGTTAAGAATAATTATTTTTAATTAATATATTATTAATTTATTATTTATTATTTATTTGTATATTATGAGATCTATATTTTAAAAAAAATTTAATCAAAATTCTAAAATAAAGAATTGAAACCAATTATTGTAAATAATATAATAAGATATTATTTAAATTAATTTTGTTAATATATGAAATATCATTTTAAATAAAATTATATATTATTAAATATATTTATTTTTTGGTTATATATCATAAATATTTTTTAAAAATTTAAAATTTAAAATAAAGTCTTGTGTTTAAATTTTAAATTGATTGAATTATTGTTTATGAAATTATAAAACATTCAAATTTTATTATTATTTTGCTTATTATAATATAAGCAAAAATATTTATAAAATATAATTATAAAAAAATTTTATTATAAAATCTTGTTATTGACTAAATAAGAATAATAAATTATATGTAAACATATAAACATATTAAAAAAATATCTCTGTTTTATGATTTGAATTAAGAATTTATTAAATTGCAAATATTGAAATTAATATTAATAAAATAAAATAAACTAAAATAAGATGTAATTTAAACCATAAAAGTGTAAAATATATTATTGTAAATCATACGATTTGATTATAATTACCCGTGATTGTTGCGTACACATGACGATTGTAAAAAAGAAATCCAATTCTAATTAAAATTAACATTCAATGTTAAGCTCAATGATAGTGCCACTTTCGGATAACATTTACTAATTAAGGCCATGTAGCGAAAAAAATACGCCCGATAATGCATTTGCCGGAATGATGATCCCGTGATCATAAACATTTTTAGAAATGCGAACGCAGGGGAACCAATGGAATTCGAAAAAAGAAGGTTGGTGGTTAACATCAATGAGGATTGTCAGAATACAAAAAAAAAGGACAAAAACATGGGTAAGACAAAAAAACAAATAGTCGAGTGTCCATGTACTAAGCAAATTTTGGAAACAAAACATCCTTTTAACTTACCAAACCCATACCTTAGCCATTCAATGTCGAAAGAAAAGCATTGTCGCACAAATCTGTCAACGATCATACACAAAAACACATCAGACGATACGAACAAGGCTACGTACAGTATTAATGATATTCAACATTCATGCTTCGTTGAAATATCGGTACTCACACATTCATTTTTGAGTGCAATTTTTGCACCGACGAAAAAAAAATGATGCAGTGCTATACCAGCAAATCATGTGAAAATATTGACGCCTTCTTAATGCAGGTCTTATTATGTTATTTGTATGTAATCATTAAAATTTCCATTGTTTAAATAATAATAATGAGTTATAGTAAGTCAGTATTGGACCAATCCAAATCGCTACATTTTGAATGGACGCAAGTAATTTTATAACTTTATGCATGCAGAATGATTTCCTAATCCAAATAAGGAATTCAATGACAATATGACAATGTACTTAGCAGAAAGCGGGTTTATTGTTATCTGGGAACTTTAGTGTCATCTTTATAAATATCCATAAAAGATAAAATAAAATACCTATATTATTGACTTTTTAAAATTTAGATATTATGGGATATATTATATGCTAAGATACATAGTCTCACATGTAACGCCACAACGTTGAAAGCCAACCTTGGTCGAAATAATCATCATACACTTAATGTGTTGGCACTTTCCATCATTTTCAAGATTTATCGTATGAAGTTCAACACAAGTTCCACTTTTAGAGACATGCTCAAATGAATATCTAAAAATGTTATTATAATGCAGGGGTTTTGTTCCAATGTTATAACATGAAACTTCAAATTTCTCAATTGCCAACGTTTTAATCTTAGATGGACTTTGCTATGTACACGATAGAACCAAGGCGTTTTATGATTCTATCCATCCAAAACGCATAAGTACACGTACCACAGAGCTTCGCCGAGTTTTACACCGTTACATCCGTTGTTTCTTGCGTGTGGTTCTTGTGCCTCCGATTTCCTGGTGTCGGGTAATCGTATGCACGGAGGAGTGTCCCACCACTTTGGTTGTACAAGTGGTACAACAAGACTTGACTACGTAAACCATCTTCATCTTATTCTGTAACAGATATACTGGGATTGGGCTTAGTCCCTGGATCTTAATATATGTAAAAAAACCCCGATTTGCATCGAATCAAGATTAACAATAGAGTTTACAGTATATATGCGTGAAATACGATGGTTTTCTTTTTGTCATCAAGACATGCCATCGTCAAGACTTTATTTACAATTTGGTAAATTTTGCCTAATGAAGAGATTGAAACCAATGCAGGGAAATCATGCGAACATTAAATAAAAAATAGGCGGAGATTAACATTAAATTCTTATGGTACATCTAGCGTGTTTGTCTAAATTTAATCCAGGAAGATGCTGGGGGTAGTCAGATAGGCGCCCATAATAGACACTGTATATTACTCTGTCTAAAAGTTGTATTAAGGTGCTATTATGCATTATTGTTATTATGTTCACTCATTACCGATTGTCTATTATTATTCCCAGTGCCTCGCCACTCGCGTTCCCAAGATAATCGCCAAGATAGCAATCCGGTTATTATAAACAATAATGCATTGGCCCAACCACATGCTAAACTTGAGAAATATGCACGACATCTCGTAG